TTTTTTTTTTTTTGAGATAGAATTTTGCTCTTTCTTGCCCAGGTTGGAGTGCAATGGCATCATCTCAGCTCACTGCAACCTCCGGCTCCCTGGTTCGAGTGATTCTCCTGTCTCAGCCTCCCCAATAGCTGGGATTAACAGGTGCCCGCCACCATGCCCGGCTACTTTTTGTATTTTTAGTAGAAACAGGATTTCACCATGTTGGCGAGGCTGGTCTCAAACTCCTGACTTCAGGTGATCTCCCTGCCTCAGCCTCCCTAAGTGGTGTGATTACAGCTATGAGCCACCATGCCTTTCCCCTTTTGTTTAAGACCGGGTCTTACTGTGTCACCCAGGCTGGAATGTGGTGGTGTAGCCATGGCTCACTACAGCCTTGACCTCCTGGGCTTAAATAATCCTTCCACCTCAGCCTCCCAAGTAGCTTGGTCGAGAGGCATGCTCCACCACACCCGGCCAATGTGTATATATTTTTTGAAACAAGAGTCTCACCCCGTCGCCCAGGCTGTAATACAATGGCTTGATCTGGGCTCACTGCAACTTCCAGGTTCAAACGATTCTCCTGCCTCACCCCCCTGAGCAGCTGGGGCTACAGACGTGCACCACCAGGCCCCGCTAGTTTTTGTATTTTTAGTAGAGACTTGGTTTCTCCATGTTGGTAAGGCTGGTCTCCAACGCCTGACCTCAGGTGATGTGCCCACCTCAGCCACCCAAAGTTCTGAAATTACAAGCATGAGCCGCTGCGCCTGGCCCAATTTTGCATATTTTTAATGACATGAACTAAGCACTTTTCTTAGTATTATTCATTAAAGTTAACAAAAATTCATTTTTTGAATTTAGAAATTACCAAAAATTGAGAGAAATAGAAATAATTGATAATTTCACTGCCCATTGATAATTCTGGTAATTTTTTGTGGTCTAGCTTTTTATATGTTAATATGTGATCAATATGACATACTTTGAAAGAGTAAGTGCTATTTAAATCCATATATATATATATATATATATGTAGTTTTGAGACAGACTCTTGCTTTGTCACCTAGGCTGGGGTGCAGTGGCTCAATCTCCACCTCCTGGGTTCAAGTGATTCTCCTGCTTCAGCCTCCTGAGTAGCTGGGATTACAGGCACCCACCACCATGCCCGGCTAATTTTTGTATTTTTAGTAAGAGACAGGATTTGCCATATTGACCAGTCTGATCTCGAACTCCTGAACTCAGGTCATCCACCTGCCTCAGCCTCCCCAAGTGCTGGGATTACAGGCGTGAGCCACCGCGCCCTGCCTAAATCCATATATATTTTTATATCTTTTTTTCCTAAAAACAGGCTCATAATGTACACAGTATTTAGTATGTTTCTATTTTATAATAGATTTGGGGATTGCAATCTTGAATTAAGTCAAGTCATAGCTGACTTGCGTTTATTGTTTTCCTGTGATCCAGAGCAGATAAAATCCCCCCGTCTCTGTATTCCACATACTGCCAGGCCTGCACCACTGCTGAAGCGAAGCCGGAAGGTAAGTTCCTGGGCCGCTTGTCCACGCTGGGACTTGTGCTTTTCCATTTCCCCGACCTTGAGCATCTGCTGTTCAGTACCATCCCAGTGAGCTTGGGGGTGGCTGTGCCAGCTGGGGCCAGAGCTGTGGGTACAGGGTCCACCCCCCATGTTGACACCCAGGGCCATCCATGGCACAGGCTCTTACTTGGGGGCCGTGAAGAATCACCTAACATAGCACCTTCTGGGGAAAAAAACAAAACAAGACAAGATTGACGAACCAGAGACTAAATCATCACCTGTCCATGGTCCTGTGCCCAGCCTCCTTAGCCCCTGGGCTTCCTTGGCTGGGCTTCTGGTCTTTTCCGCAATGATTGAGTGGTGTTGACGGTGCACACAGAACCACTTTGTTTCTTAAACTTGTTTATAAATGTAATTTTTGGTGTGGTGGCATCTAGCATCAAGGAGAACACCTCATTTACCTTCTCAGAGACTCCCAGTGCCTCCATCTGGCGTGCATAGAGCAGCATAGAAATGCACAGCTCTGTATTTGACTGTGTGAAGTTTCTGGTTTTGTAATGAAAAGTTGTGTGAGTGTCTGCCCATCTGGTCTGATGGTGAAAATTCCCTCCTCCTTGCAGATGCAGCCCTGGGAGTAAGGGCGGACCCCAGCTGTGCCGAGGAGCCCCTGGGACAGCTCACGGCTGCCCTGGAAGAGCTGAGAGCATCCATGACAAACCCTAGCCAGCATGACGGTGAGGACGGATGGACGGGGTGCTCACGTGCCCCCTGTGTGTAGCCTGTGGTTGGAGCTTGGTGCCCGGTCCATTTTCCCTTTAGTGATGTCAGGCTGGGGTGTCTTCCTAGTGGTCCAGCATTTGGTGGTGAAGCTTGACCATGGGCTGGAGGGTGTGGGTCCTTTTTTGAGACAAGGTGGAAGGCTGGTTCTAATCAAGCTGTCACAGACCTTTGGCAGAAGATGAGTATTCTGCTCGATGCATTTAGATGGGACAGATAATGGGGAAGAGTAGAACACAGGAAGTGACTAGGATGTGCATCTATCTGCCTTCTCATCCCGACTGTTGGAGCAGGTATTACATGAGACACCTGGGGTCTCTGCCTTGTCATCCGGCTTCCACGTGACAGTTTTTTGCAAAACCCAGAGGATGAAATGTTCATCTGTGGACTGAGAACATGCAGAGTTTTAGAGCACTTAGGTGTCGCACGCCAGTCCACAGTGGAAAATGCCAAGTTCTAGGACTTTCACAGTTTTACGATGTCACACACACAATCTAAAATAAGGAAGCCATATTTTTAATTGAGTAACGTGAATAGATTTTTATTTATTATGAATTGATTTCATTTGAACTAAGGGAGGCTCATATAGGCGTGCGTGTGCGCGCGTGCACGCCTGTCACGGATTCTCTTGTCGCCCAGGCTGGAGTGCAGTGGTGTGATCTCAGCTCACTGCAACCTCCACCTCCTGGGTTCTAGCACTTTGCCTGCCTCAGCCTCCCGAGTAGCTGGGATTACAGGTGTCAGCCACCACGCCCAGCTAATTTTTGTTTATTTTTTAGTAGAGATGGGGTTTCACCATGTTGGCCAGGCTCCCAGCTGGTCTCGAACTCTTGACCTCAGGTGATCCACCAGTCTCAGCCCCCCAAAGTGTGCTGGGATTATAGGGTTGAGCCACCCTGCACAGCCTAGATGGAGGCAATATTAACAAAACTTTTAGTGCTGGCTGGGGCTGCAGTGCCTCGACGTGGTCTTTACTCAGGCCAAGGACACACGTTTCTGAGGGCAGCCTTTCATTGAGGTGCTTGTGCAGAATGTGGTGTGTGGGGGACATTGAGGAAATGTTTCAGTGCTTAAGCAAGAGGTCGATAAATGTCAGGTGAGTTCTGTTTCTAACAGCAACAAAATGGTTTTCACGTTTAAATGATGTAGTTGGGCTGCCTATGGCTCGTTATCTTGGGCAAACATGGAACCTCTGGCATGTGCTTAGGCAGGTATGGTATGCGGAGGGCTGACATGGGATTTCAGATGGGGAGCATAAAATGTGGAGGTTTGTGTTGGTGAATGAAGAATATGTCCAACTCTCAGCTGATCAGAAAAAGGTAGTGGATGGCGTCTGGCCCCATCTTCCATAACACATGCTGTGTCACAAGGCTGCAAGCCCCCTGCAGTGCGAGCAGACGCTAGCATTCAGCACCTGGCTGGGGGATGTGTGCAGCCAGCAGGGTCCGTGGAATTGCACTTGACAGGAGGCGGAACTCTAGGCCACAGCTGTGTGTCTTCTTTCAGGGTTCCCTTCTTTCCTAACTGGTTTCTCCGTTTGCAGTTATCTCCGCACAGGTGGCAGTGATTTCTGAAAGACTGAGGGCTGCCCTGGGCCACACTGATGATGATGACAGCGTTGAGTTAGCAAAGATTCAACTCAGCATCGACACACCGAGACTGGAGCCACGGGAACACATGGTGGGTTTGGGGCTCAGAACAAGGCAGGAGATCTTCATTTTCCTTTAGTCAGAGACACTAGACGTGTGGAGCGTCCTCTCACTTCCTGTTTGACTTGCTTAGTAAGCTGTACAAGTGATGTCAGATGTTCCAGGGCTGGAAGCAGACTGTCGGGGTCAGCCGTCCTAGCCTGTTTGTGTATGAAGAGCTCCTTTGCCATTTTATTTATTCATTTTGGAGACAGGGTCTTGCTTTGGTGCTCAAGCTGGAGCACAGTAGTACAGTCATGGCTCAACGCAGCCTCAGCCTCCTGGGCTTAAATGATCCTTCTGCCTGAAGCCTCCTGAGTAGCTGGGACTACAGGCATGTGCCACCGCACCCGGCTAATTTTTGTATTTTCTGTAGAGATGGGGTTTCTCTGTGTTGTTTTGACTGGTCTAGAGCTGCTGAACTCAAATGATCTGCCTGCCTCGCAGATGTTGGGATTACAGGCGTGAGTCACCGTGCCTGGCCCCTTCTTTTTTCTTCTTTGAGACTGAGTGTTTCTCTGTTACCTGCAGGGTTTAGTGGGTGTTCTTTTGTATGTGGAGACAACAGATCGCAGGAAAGAAAGGACACAAGGACACAGAGTTAAAAGAAGAATTCACCTGGGCCTGGGGGACCACTACTACCAAGTGGCCCGCATTGTTTACAAGGCAGGGGGGCAGGGTCAGGAGAGTGCCTCATCTGACATGATTAGTAGGGGTCAAGCAGATCACATTCTTAAAATACAGGGGACCATGTGGGTACAGCACAGGGGGCCCCTCCCTCTCAGGTAGCCACTGCAAGGAGGGGAGGCACATACATCAGTATCTTTCTGTGCACTTATCAGAGACATCAAAGGCTTTTAGGATTCCTCTGTTCTAAGAATTTACAAGGGAGCATCGGGTGGGAAAGTACAGCATGAAAGTGGACAAGGATGGTGACCATCAGAGCACAGCTCCATGGAGAGGTGTTTAAGCCCCGGATGTCTGCGGCCGGCTGGCTAGTGTCAGACCTTCCTCGAGAGCTGGATGGAGCTGAGCATTCTCTGAACTCCCCAGTGAAAGGGAAACTCCCCCTCATGGCCTGCTAAGCGACGGGCGCTTCCCCAGGCGCTGGCGTTACCGCAAGGCCTGCCTGCTAAGTAACGGGCGCCTTCTCAGGCACTAGTGCTACTACAAGGTATTTACTCTTGCCTCCAAATCACTTCTCATAGTGTCCCTTCAGTTCCGTATTATATTTCATGTGATTATTTCTATACTACAAGGCTAAAAGTGTTCCTACCCTGTAATACTAATGCAAAGGTTCGTAGTAGCAATAACGTAATTAGATTGAGCATATAATTATGTGATTGCATCTAAGTCTAATTGGTATCGTTGCTATCACTAAGCAGTCAGTAAATACATTCAGTATCATTGCTGTACTTAAGTAATCAGATATTTATTACGCTGGGACAGATTCTGCCTTCAGTCTCTTGCCATGGCACCTGGGCAGCCTTCTTCCCACAGTTGCCTAGGCTGGAATGCAGTGGCCTGATCTCGGTTTGCTGCAGCCTCCACCTCCTGGGCTCAAGCAGTTCTCGTTCCTCAGCCTCCTGGGTAGCTGGGATTACAGGCGTGTGCCACTATGCCAGGCTACCGTTTGCACTTTTAGTAGAGACAGGGTTTCACCATGTTGACCAGGCCCATCTTGATGGCCTCTTTAGAATATGCAGCAGAGACTTGTTTGTGGCCCCAGAACCTGAAATATTTTTCTGGCCTTTGACACACAAGGTTTGCCAGTCTTGCTCACTGCTATAGAATTTTGCGATTGGCAGTTACGTGAGGGCACTTGGACTTTTACTTTCCAGGATTGGGGAATGGAGGCCTTTGGTGCCAGTTTGCATTGTAATGTGCTTTCCAAACACAGGCCTGTTTTGCAGTTCTGTTTGTGAGGCAGGATTGTGATGTCAGTGGTGGAAGCACTGCCCGACTTTGTTCCTCCTGCTCCCATCCCTGGGACACTGCACTCAAGAGAACCATGTCTCCTTAGGCCGTGGACCTCCTGCTGACGTCTTTCTGTCAGAACCTGATGACAGCGTCCAGTGTGGCTCCTCCAGAGAGGTGAAGGCACGGGTGTCTCCCGGGGGTGTGGGGCTGCTTTGGGTGCCCCCTCCTGCTGGGCCATGGCCACAGGCCGGGCACGCATGAGCTCGGCTCCGCGGGAGCAAGCCCCCCCATGCTGAGTTTGGTCAAACAGGACACAGCAGAATTCAGGAAGCACCGTGGAAGATGGGTTGTCTTCCAGAAAGACTATAGCTTTGGCGAACCGCCTGGCTCTTTCTTGGGCCCCTGGTGCCTGGATTAGCCGTTGGAGGGATGTGTGGGACTAAATGGCCAGTGCTGATGGTTTCGTGGTTGTCTCTGCAGGCAGGGGCCCTGGGCCACCCTCTTGGTGAGGACCATGTGTGGACACGTGCTCCCTGCAGTGCTCACCCGGCTCTGCCAGCTGCTCCGTCACCAGGTGAGCCCATGCTTTACATGGGGCACCCTTGGGGGCTTGCTCTGAGGGCCAGGCTGCTGCTTCCTGGCTCGTCTTTAATGCCCTGGAAAATTCCAGCTGGGAAGAGGGTGACTGGGAAGAGGGCTGTCTGCTCTGCCACCCTAATTCTCATTGCAGGGCCCGAGCCTGAGTGCCCCCCATATTTTGGGCTTGGGTGCCCTGGCCGTGCACCTGGGTGAGTCCAGGTCTGCGCTCCCGGAGGTGGATGTGGGTCCTCCTGCTGCCACGGTGGGCCTTCCTGTGCCCGAGCTCTTTGAAAACCTCCTGACCTGTAGGACCAGGGGTTCCTTGCTATTCTGCCTGAAGTGAGTTGTTCTTCTTCCCAGTTGCGTCTTCTCTCCTCTCTCCAGAAAAGTGGCACATGCTTGTCTGATGAAATTAGAAGGGACAGACATGGGACATGCTACCCAGAGATAACTTTTTAGCATTTTGGTATATATCCTTCCAGAATTTTATCTGTCATGTGTTAATAATTTGCCTGCGTTTGTTTCTTTGTTCATAAAAATGGGATCATACTATACTAAATTGCTGAAATTAATACTGCTACTAAAATTAATAGTAGATAATAACTGTCCACATTGTGGGGCGTTCTTTGCTGTCCTGGTGAGAGCTCTCTTTTGTCTTGGGGTTGTCTGGCACTTGGTTGGACCCACTCCCTCTGGTCAGGTAATTGGGCACCCTGTGGTGAGCAGGTCCCAGTGTTCCACACCTCGGACTGTTCCTCTAGGGCTCAGCAGATGGGGGCCATATGCTTAGGTGGAGAATGGTCTGCGCAGGGCCTCAGGACCTCACTTCAAGTGCAATGCATAGGCAGAGGCCAGGACAGAAGGCTGGGAGACTCCAGTGGTAGTTCCTGGCTGGGGCTGGGCTTGTAGCTCCTGGGTCCTTGTGCAGAAGCAGCCCAGGTCAGAACAGAAGCCCTGTTGCGATACTGCAGATCCTCTGGGGGAAAGGGGGCAACTGGCATTATGACAGGGTCTGGACAACAGAGGACTAGGAAGGGGCCCATGAAATGTACGTAGAGCTAGAAGAGGGAATCAGATGGCAGCCGTGTGGATCCCCCACCCTCAGACATGGGCCACAGGATGCAGGCCCTCAGCCCTCTGGGGGTACAGAGCCCATCCCAGGCTCTTGGCCACAGCACACAGTCCTCATTTGCCTCAGGGCCCCCAACACTGAGTGCTGGGTATTGGTGTGAGAGGCACACAGCCGCTGGAGAAATCGGGAGCTGGTGAGGAGGGAGGTGTCCAGGCGGCTTGGGGCAGACAGGGCGCGTCCCCTCTTAGGAACACAGAGGTGCCTTATATGTATTCAAGTGAAGAAAGCAAAATACTGAATTCTGTCTCAGATGCTACTTTTGGCATAAGAAAGGAGGGGAGGATGAAATACATCTATTTGGTGGTTTTTGTTTTTTTTGAGACAGAGTGTTGCTCTGTTGTCTAGGCTGGAATGCATTCATGGCTCACTGCAACCTCTGCCTCCTGGGTTCAAGCAATTCTCATGCTTCACCTTCCTGAGTAGCTGAGACTACAGGTGTGTGCCTCCATGTCCAGCTAATTTATGTATTTTTAGTAGAGATGGAGTTTTGCCATGTTGCTTAGGCTGGTCTTGAACTCCTAATCTCAAGCGATCTGCGCACCTTGGCCTTCCAAAGTGTTAGGATTGCAGGTGTGAGCCTCCATGTCTGGCCGAAATATGTATTTGTGAAACAGAAATACTAGAACTCTTAAGAACACCAGGACGGTGCAGTGGCTCACGCCTGCAATGCCAGCACTTTGTGAGGCCGAGGCGGGGGACTCATGAGGTCAGGCGTTGGAGACCAGCCTGGCCAATATATTGAAACCCCATCTCTACTACAAATATAAAAATTAGCCAGGCATGGTGGCAGGCACCTGTAATCCCAGCTACTCAGGAGGCTGAGGCAGGAGAATCACTGGAACGTGGGAGGTGGAGGTTGCAGATTGCGCCACTACACTCCAGCCTGGGCAGCAGTGGTAGACTCTGTCTAAAAACAGAAACAAAACACCATGACAGCAACTTCCTGCTGGGATGATCGCCCCGTCTCCTTTGCCTCATGGAATCTCATTTTTCACATGGGTATTGCTGTATTTACTTATATGTGAATACATGACACAAGGTCTCACTGTGTCACCCAGGCTGGAGTATGGTATAGCGATCCTGGCTCACTGTGGCCTTGATCCCCCAGGCCCAAGCAATCGTCCTGGCAGCTGAGACTGCAGATGCACACCCCTACACCCAGCTACTGAGAGATAGGGTCTCACCGTGTTGCCCAAGCTAGTCTTGAACTTCTGGGCTCAGGTGATCCCCTGAGCTGTGATTATGCTACTGCACTCTAGCCTGGGCATCCAGTTAAGGCCCTGCATCAAAGACAAAATAGACCAAGGACCGGGCTGGGCACAGTGGCTCACGCCTGTCATCCCAGCGCTTTGAGAGGCTGAGGCAGGCAGGTCACTTGAGGTCGGGAGTTTGAGACCAGCCTGACCAACAGGGTGAAACCCTGTCTCTACTAAAAAAAAAAAAATACACAAATTAGCTGGGCTTGGTGGCAGATGCCTGTAATCTCAGCTACCTGGGAGGCTAAGGCAGGAGAATTGCTTGAACCCAGGAGGGAGAGATTGCAGTGAGCTGAGGCAGTGCCACTGCACTCCAGCCTGGGTGACAGAGGGAAACTCAGTCTTCAAACAAACCAAAACACCAAGAACTGATGCTCCAGCCATCCGCTTTAGAATGCACTAAATTCAGTTTCATGAAATTCAAAGTTATTTCTTCCTTCATCGCTGATTTTGTATGAAGCACATTTATCCATTATAATTTCCGTTTTCAGGTTTTGTACAGCAGCAATTTCTTACTCTCTGTGCAAGTTTCCCTCCCAGTCTCTTGGTGTCTTGTGCAGCTGCTTATCTTCAGGCCTTATTAAAAAGGTAGGTTCCCTTGTTTTCTGTTTTTTCATTCTGCTCTGAGTGTCAAGTTTGTGCAGCTTTCTGGCTGGAAGCTGAGGTCTCCCGCCACTTTGCGCTGATCTCAGGGGAGCTCCGGGGTCAAGCTGTCACGGCCACCTCTGCTGTCTGTGCTGAGCACTGCCTTGTCCTCTGCTCTGAGTGTAAAGGGAAATTGTATGAAGACAGCTACAAGTCTGTAGTCATAAGGAAACAGATGTTGGTATTTATCACATGAGGGAATTAAAAGATCAGTATTCATAAAAAGTATCTTTTCCAGTAAAGAAGAATTCTCATTTTTCTCATCTACTAAACGCTCCTTATGTTGATCAGGACAGAGGAATTTAAAGATGAGCATTGGAAACCCTGAATGTCAAAAGCAAGGGTGAAATTGCACTGCAAACTAGTGTTGTCCTTTTATAGGATTTTTATAAATGTATTGTTTATTAAATAGTGGTTTTCAGGCTGGTTTTGGTGGCTCATGCCTGTACTCCCAGCATTTTGGGGGGCCAAGGCAGGTGGATCACGAGGTCAGGAGTTTGAGACCAGCCTGGCCAACATGGTGTAACCACGTCTCTACTAAAAATACAAACATTAGCTAGGCGTGGTGGTGCATGTCTGTGGTACCAGCTACGAGGGAGGCTGAGCAGGAAAATTGCTTGAAGCTGGGAAGCGGAGGTTGCAGTGAGCCGAGATCACAACGCAGAGTGAGTCTCCGCCTCAAAAAAAAAAACAGCGGTTTTCAACTGCAGGCTTCACAATATTAGAATCAACTAAGAAGCTTTTGAAACTACAGATACCTGGCGCCTTCCCAGATAAATTAATTCAGAATCTGGGAGTAGCCCCTGAGGATCCAGGGCGCACGTATTTACAGTGATTTCCTATGAGGAGCTTTGTCCCAGGTGCCAAGTTTTTAAAGAAAACATGGAATTGGAGCTTAGGAGAAGCCAGCCGGTCCCCACGCACCGCAGCCCTTTGAGCTGTTGCGGGCTGGTTATGAACCCGGCAGGCAGCCTCATCTGCTTGGGGCAGAGATGGACGCAGTGATGCAGCACTGGTAGCCTGTTTCGCTTGTCCAATTCGTGTGCATTTTTGGTGGGAATGCCATCCCTGGCAGAGGCCTAGAGATTGGCGGTTTCACTGCTTCCCGACATTTAGCCCAGGGAAGCAGGTAGGTGGCAGGAACGTCTGCACACAGGCTAGATCACTGGAGCACTGTGCACGGCCACAACCACTGAGGGGCTCTGCGCCCTCCCAGGGGCTGGACTGAGGTTCCCTGAACGTGGGGTTGTGTGTGTGGCATGGCTGTTGATGGTCTGTTTGCACCTGAGCATTTTCTTAGCCACTCACGGTGAAACTTGCCTGATGAAGAAACTGCCGGGTCTGTTTCAGTTTCAGTTCCTTGTGCTCAGATTATTCCCAGAGGCCCGACAGCCTCTTTCTCAGGACGCAGCCAGCCTTTCCTGGAGACCCTTGTATCTACCTTCTGCAGACTGGCAGAGAGCTGCCCTCTCTCTCTGGACACACAGAACCTTCCGAGAGCTGTTAAAGGAGGACGATGTTCAGGTAGGTGACCCTTTCTTTTCCCTGCATGGTGCCACGTCCCAAGTCTAGGGTTTGTGTGTGCAGACTGTCTTCTCTGAGGCAAGAACAGCAGCACTTAGGAGATTTGATTGGAATTTTGACTGAGATTGTTGTGGGTTCATGTGCAGCTGTCACGAAATAATAATGAGACGGCATGGTGCTCACACCTGTGATCCCAGCACTGTGGGAAGCCAAGGCAGGTCGATCACCTGAGTTCAGGATTTCAAGACCAGCCTGGGAAACACGGTGAAACCCCATCTCTAAAAACAAAAATGCAAACATTAGCTGGGCGCAGGGGTGTGCACCTGTTACTCCAGCTACTCAGGGGGCTGAGGTAGGAGAATCGCTTGAGCCTGGGAGGTGGAGGTTGCAGTGAGCCAAGATTGCGCGACTGCACTCCAGCCTGGATGACAGAGTGAGACCCTGTCTTAAATAAATACATAGGATAGATAGATATGCTGTCATACTTTCCCATTGTCTCCCAACACAAACTTCTTTTTTTATTCTTATTTATTTTTTGAGATAGTGTCTCACTGTATCACCCAGTCTGGAGTACAGTGGTGCAGTCTGGGCTCACTGCAGCCTCTGCCTCTTGGGTTCAAACAGCTCTCATGCCTCAGCCTCCTGGGTGGCCGGGACTACAGGCACATGCCACCACGCCTGCTAATTTCTGTATTTTTAGTAGAGATGAGGTTGTCTAGGCTGGTCTTGAGCTCCTGATCTCCAGTGATCTGCACGCCTTGGCATCCCAAAGTGCTGCCATTACAGGCATGAGCCACCACGCCTGGGAAGTTCTTCTTTCTGTTTTTTGAAATAGAGTCTCGCTCTGTCGCCAGGCGCCGGACTGGAGTGCAGTGGCATGATCTCGGCTCACTGCAATCTCAGCCTCCCCGGTTCAAGCAAATCTCTTGCCTCAGCCTCCAAAGTATCTGGGACTACAGGCACGCACCACCATGCCCAGTTAATTTTTGTATTTTTAGTAGAGACGGGGTTTCACCGTGTTGGCCAGGGTGGTCTCGATCTCTTGACTTCGTGATCTGCCTGCCTTGGCCTCCCAGAGTGCTGGGATTACAGACTTGAGCCACCGCGCCTGGCTGGGAAGCTCTTTTAAACATGTCGGCCAGGCTCTGTGGTGGCCATTCGGCATCTCTAGGCTCGCCCCTGTGCGTCTGATTAGTGGGAGCTGGTGCTGCCCTCACCAGTGTGCCGCGGTACTATTTATTTCCTAGGATGTTTTCCTCGTTGTTTTGGTCTTTAGAAAAAAAGCCCTCAAGATCATCGTACTTCTTTTTTCCACAAATTTTATGATTAACTATATTAGCTACACAAAAGTATGATGCCCTGTTTTAGTGTAAGGAATGATGGGCAGGCACAGTGGAAAAGAAAAAAGAAGGATGAGGCAGTGAACAGCTCTGTACCCACCAGCAGCTCGGAGGGAACTGTCTTGCCTTTGGGGCACTGGCAGCACCCTCCCTTGGCCGTGCCACATCAGTGGGTGTCCTGCGCAGACACTGCAGCTCTGGTCTGACCCAGACGGAGTGTGTGCTGGTCTGTGTGTGTCCTGCGCAGA